TTTTCTTTCTTTTCTTTCTTTTTAGTCTTAATAAAATAAATCTTTTTTGGCTCATCCGAAATTTCATGAGTTAATAGCTCATCTTCATACCAGTCATACGCGCTATAAATTGGACGAAATAAAAACCGAAGATCGCGGCGGGGAGTAGGAAAATTATAGAGGAAAGTAGGAAAATTACGATATGACCAAAACCTTGACCTTGACGTTTGTTTAGTTTGAGCAAATTTCATTCTAGAATCAAAAATATTTTTTTTTATCATCCAACCAAGATTCTAAATTCGACAAACGACCATGAGAAATTGACATGTATTGATTAAGTTCCAAATCTAATTGTTCTTTCCAATAATATTTGTCATCATATTTGTTATAAAATGGCATAATATCAATTAGTTCCTGTGGATAATCCATAATGTTTCTATGAAATTTAATTTTTTAGCGTTTTGACTAATTCAAAATTTTCATTTTTTAAAAATATAATGCAAACACTTACGTCACAGTTTTCTCATTGAAACATTCAGAACAACATCTAACTCCAAATGCCCAATAAATCGTGCAATGCTTACTAATATTACAAATTTCACAACCTAGATTTGTTATTAATAATTCACATAACGTTTTTCATTCATTCCTTTTGGTGGAGGCGACCATACATGCCCCATAAACGTTAAGCGAGATTTCTTCCATATTTGTTGGGTAGAAAAGGAATTTGGTGCACTTAGGTAACAATAGAATTTACGACATACTTTAGAAAGTTTGAATAAATCATTTGGTGATAAATAAGAGCAAAACTTGGCCAAGAGTTCGGGTGGGAGGTTTACAATCGGTGAGTTTATTGTGAGGGTGGGTGGCATTTCTAAAGGTTAAAAACGGGAAGAGGTGTACTTTTCGTTTCATTCGATCCATGTGGTTTATGTAGCATCGTTTCACAATTTACGCCCATAATAATAAAATTACCTATGATTGCCACATGGAATTATTAGTTAATTAATAAAACACAACACCTGTGGCATGTCAAATGACCTTTGAAAAGCAATTTTTGTACTTGCTCGAAAAAATTGATTATTTTTCTCTCAAGAAAGATTTATTATTAAATCTGATGATGCATGCGTTCACGGGACATTTATGTTAAGAGCCGTAATAGCGGGGGGTTTTTTTTTTTTAAGGATAAGCGTTAAAATAGAGAGAAATAGTTCTTTTTCTACGAATAAATTTTTTATAACGACAGTGTTATAAAAAAAAAATAAAATAAAAAATAAAATTAAAAAAATATTTTTTTTTTTTATTTATTTTTAGGGAAGGCACATTATTTCTCAAAGACATTATAAAAATATAATTTAATTACAAAAAAAAAAAAAAAAATTAAATTTCTTCGCATCTCTGAGCAAATTTATAATGACACGTTTTTAATTTTTCAATAGCAGAGTTTAAAGAATTGAGATCATCCCTAGTAACTTCAAATGTATTGTCACCATTAACTTCAGGAGTGATCATTAATAATTTCTCTTCATACCTCATCAAAATTGCTTTCATTTTAGTTAATAGATGAGAAATGTCATGTAAATTATCCAAACTATCCTCGACAATCACAAGTTTTTCCTTAGCTTTATCGATATCAGCCAAGTATCGTTCATTATTGTAACAAAAATTTTCGGCCTCACTTAATCCATACTCAATATTACCTTCGATGTTATGATTATTTCCTTTTGCGTCAAGTATTAATCTATGAGATTTTTCTACTAATCGTCGAAGTTCCTTAATTTTGATTAATAATTTTTCCACCCTCTTCTTAAAATATTGGGTGTCACCTTTACGTTTCATGAATTCCATCATTGTTTCGATTTCTGTTTCAAATGATTCACATACTATCGAACATCTGTCAAACATATTACGTAATGAAGTATCTGCTGTTATCAATTTGTCTCGAAATTCATGTAAACTTGTTGATATCTGACAACCATGAAACTCAAACGCTGGGCTTGTTTGAATCGTACGTGCCACTTCACGGCATGTTATTGCATGTTCCATAATTACTTTAACAGCTAAAGAGTTATATATTAACAAAGTGAGAAGGAAAAAGATTTTTTTTTTTTTTTTAAAAAAAAAGAAAAATCATTGAAATAATTTGTACCAGAGACGTCTAATTTGGAAATTTCATCAAAAACATTGTTTGTTGCATCGGTAAATTTCCGAAAAAAAGCGGGTGATGGAGTTTTGCTAGGGTTGAACTATTATTTTTTATTTTTATTTTTATTTTTATTTTTTTAGAAAAAGAAAAAAAAACATATCTATTAAAAGGAACGAGATTTATTGTAAAATTCGGTAAAATGCAAACGAAAACCTTTTTTTTTTCTTACAAGCCAAGCTATTTCAATAATTAAAATTAATAGCAATGAATTGAATATGAAACTACGGCAAGACATTATAGTATTCCTTCTCTAATAAAAAGAATAAAATTACAATGCAATAAATTATTAAGTTGAAATGATTTTTCACAGACCTCATGAATTTCCATATTATTTTTTTTTTTTTTTAAAAAAAAAAAAAAAGGGAATAATTATAATTTCACTTTGATTGTGGTTGCTCAGATAATCATCCCTAAAAATGGAAATAACGGACTTGCATCATATGTTAGGTACAGCAATTGTTCATTTGACACCTTTTTACAGTATAATCGCTTTTTTATTTTTTGTTTTTTTTTTTATTATTTTTTTTTGTTTTTACATGTACATGAGCGTTAATAAAATATTTGAACACTAAAATTAAATTCACAAACATATTCGAAAGATTTTAAAAAATTTATTTTAATAAACATCAATTATCTCATTTCGGGTCTTTTTTTTTTGTATGCATAATCCTGCATGTTTGACTCTTCCCTATTATGTTTTAGCACTATCGGTAAAGAAAGCATTTAATCTTAAAAGGGAATGATCAAGGACAAAAAAATTTGATTGGTCAGTTATTGACGCAGGAAAATATAAAATTGTTAAGAGAATTTAACGCGATTTAATTCATAATCTAAATTTGCTAATATATATACTCGGGGATTTACATAAATCTTAAGTAGAAATTTGTCTTTTGCTGTATTTGTAATGATAAGCTTTTGATTTTTCCACACCAAGTCTCAAGTATTTGAGATCTTCCTTTGTAATTTTGAATTTATCATATTCGATTTCACTAAAACCAGCAGAAACGTCCAACAATCTATCCTCATAGACCTCCAAAAATTTTCTCATTTTATCTAAATTAACGGCGGTAACATATAAATGTTGCAACATATTTTCCACCATTACGAATTCTTGCTTGACTTTATCGATATCAACTGAATACGCCGAATTACGATCACAAATATACTTTTCCGCTTCCCTTAGCCCACCATAAATATAACCTTCCGTATCATGTCGCACAGCTTCCGCGTTTAAGACAGACATTTGGGCTCGTTCAACCAGTTGTCTATAATCTTTGATTTTCTTTCGTAATTCATCAAATTTATCTTTAAAATATTGATTATCGTCGACTTGTCGGATGTAGTTTGAATTCAATCGATGCATCATCGATTCAATTTCTTCATCAAACGATTGATATACTGATGAGCCCTTGTTATGCATATTTTGTAATGTGCGACTTGCTATTAATATCCTTTCTCCAAAATTACGAAGCCCCATTGCCATTTTCTTGCCATGACATCTGAATGCTGGACTTCTTTCGATCACATTTGCTACTCTACTACATGCTACCGTATGTTCTGTGATTGTATTCTCAGCTATATATATAAGGGAAAATAAGTTAAATTACACACATGAGAATAAACCTCTTTTTGAATAATTATTTACTTGGTATATCAAGACTGTTAATTTCTGCAAGGATATTATTGGTCGTATCAGCGAATTTTCGGATAAACGAAGGTGATTTTTGTAAAAGATGATCCTAATTTTTTTTTTTTTTTTTTTTTTTTAAAAAAAAATAAACATTTACCTGTAAGGCTTATTGAAATATTAGTAAAAAGATAATAAAAAAAAAATTATACTTGCAATCGGAATCGATACGAGAATCGAAATAATTAAAATAATTGCACTGATTAACGCTAACCCAAATTTCATATTACTTGAAACTTTATTAGATTTGATCTCGGCTATTTTATCATTATTGGCGTTAGGATTAAGATCATTATTAGAAGATGAACCGCCGATTAATCCTTGTTGTTGCTGCGTATAAACTTGATTCTTTTTTTCTCGAATTTCTTGTTCATTAAAATTTTGAAATTTTTTACTCTAGGAAAAAGAATGTGATATAAACGTTGTGCCACGAATAAAATTCATTTGAAAAATGTTTACATACGTTAGTGCTGGGGTTTGCCTCCTGTGTGATGAAAAAAAAAAAATTTCGTAGGATGTTAGGTTTCATGAAAAGTTCTTTTTGAAATAAAATCTAATATTGAATCAACGAACATAAATATCTTGAATAAATTTGTATCCAGTCATTTTTATTTAAAATTTTGCAAAAGGGAAAAAGAAGTTTTTCCGGACCATTATTATTTTTTGTATCTTGTAATACTAATATATATAATTAGTATATACAATGCCTATTAGAGTTAGTGGCTTTATGGTTTAATCAGCATGCATTATAATACAAGAATGGGCGCATGCTTTTAACATTGAAACGATTGCCACACGTGAACTCTTTATTTCACTAAAATAGAGATTGAGAAAAAAATGTTACATGATTAAACAGAATCAGAAATGTAGATATCACTCAAAACGCTACACGTAAATTCTATATAGAGTTGTGCTTCCTTGTTGAACTCGTAATAATAATCTTTGATTAGTTTTACAAATTTATCATCTTCGATAATGCCGTCGGCAAACAATTTATCATGAGACCTTAAAATTATTTTCATTTGATGTGCTGATTTATGTAAATTTTCTAAATCCTTTCCAACATCTACGGGTTTTTTACTTATCAAACGTAGGTCTTCCATTAATTCCTCAATATTTTTGATGAAATGATTTAACCTTTCCCCAAAATATTGCACGTTACGTCTAAACTCCTCAATTTTTGTTTTTGAACTTTCCAAATTTTGAAACCAATATTTGGATTTTTGAGAAGCATCAATTTCCGTGAGCACGGATGAACCTTTACTGTACAGGTTTCGTAATGATTCGTCTGTTTCCAGTGATTTCTTCCCAAAATCACGAAGTCTCGTATCAATGATGCTATCATTAGAATCAAATGCTCTTATTTGAATGATGTTTGCTGTTGCAAGGCATTCGGCTACATCATCAAATGAAGTACGTTAACCAAAGGTGTAAAAACTAAACCGTTCTCATATCCTTAACATGCTCACCTGGAAAGCCAATCTCTTCAAAAATCTTACTTGCGGTAGAATCAATTTCTAAAAAACGTCCCGACTAGGATTTTTTCAAAAATACATTTGAAGGAATCATCGGAATAACCAAAACGTAAACAACTATAATATTATACTTACGAGAAAAACCACCGTGAAAATCGGAAGAACTACAAAAAATAGCACCGACTTATAGGAACAAGGTGTATTATTTTGTTGTTGAGATATTTTCTTCTTATTTCGACTACTAACTACTACTTCATTCTAAAAAGGGTTAAGAAAGCTGTTGTGAATAAAAAAGAATAAACGTCGAACACCTTCGAAATTTGTAAATTTTAATCTCAAGTACCAACCTTGAAGTCGGTCATAATTACAAAGGTTATATATTTTTTTTATATTTTTTTTTTTTTTTTTAAAGAAATAAAAAAAAATTTAAAAAATACGAAACGAAAAATCCTAAATAAGCATAATGCCTTGTACTACATTATGTGACACATTGATTAATATTTAGAAACCAACTTCTTTGTTTATCGTTAGTCAATGCTTTTTTGGTTTAATTTGATTTTACGCCAAGCATTTGCGTACACGTGACTCAACCAACATCAATGTTTCACCAACACGTCCTCTAAAAAATGGTATATCTATTGAAGAGCAACTTAAACGAATATAACAAATCCAAATATTGATATTTTCGTAAATATCTGTAAAAATATATTCGTCATATTACAACATTTTTATTTCAATATGTTTAATACCTTATGATAATTTAAATCTAATAAAGATATTCAGTTAAGTTTCTTATATCCATATTAATGAAGAATTATTTGCTGAATTCGAATTTCTTATTGTGTGTAAATTCTAGAGTTCGCAGAGTTTGGTGATGAACTTTTGTGCAGTTGAAGTCGGAGACGACGATTAGTCGACTTTGTAAACTAACAAATCAACTTGCTGTTTTCAAATGACTGAGCTTAAAATATTGATATACCAATATCAGAAGAAATTATAATTTCGTCATTTCTATAAATAAGATAAAGGAGAAAATGACAAGACTGAGCTCCGAATGAAGCAGTAATGAAGAATTATACAAAATAATAAAAATAATAAACTTAAATTCTTTAATTATTTCACCTCTTACAACTAATTCACTTTTATCAGATCATACACAAAAACATCGCTACGGATGTAATTATTCAATTTGGAGAACAGTAACTTACAGTAAGAGAAGACACTCGGATATATATTCCCTTATTTGCGATCCTTTCTTGAAGAAATACTTCAATTTCACAACATTTAGTTATATAATAATGTTTAAGTAATTTGATTAGTACGTAATTATCCGATAAGTCATCAAGTGAACCGCTACGAGCGATTCTTCATTTGCAACGGTACGAAACTTTGGAAACTTAAAGTCTATCTTTGAAGATTGATTTACTATTTACGGAAGAAATAGCCGCTAACCAGGCTAATATTCAAGTCCTTACGATGTTGTTCAAGCTTTAACCGGAGCTAGACAAATTGAAATAAGGTGAATGCACTTATTATAAATCTGAATTCTGCTGCGAATTTTAACAACTATAATGTTAAGAAATGTATTCGTAAAAGATAAAATGCCATTCAATATTGCTAAACTTAAATAATATATAAACTAAGCATAAAGAATATTTATAAATACAAACTATTAAAA